AATCATTTCTTCTTAATCAAAATCTCATTCGATTGGAGAATCAGACCCCAAGAAAGAGGTCTAAAGTCGAAGATGATGACACTGACAGCTTCCCTAGTCACATTAGAGTGACTACAATAAGGAGTGTCACTGACTCAAAGATAATACAATACCTGTTGATTGTCACTTCGGATCCCGATTGTCGGTGACCTATCAACCGCACTTACTCAAAGATAACAGTGTTAGTTGGATGTCTTATGGATAGAAAGCATCCATCGACGTACCACATACCCAAAGGGTCCTAGTAATTCAAAAGAATAATCCCTCGAAAAAGGTTTTATTTCCTACCGTATCTCAGGTGTCGATTTCTTTGTCATTTACCTGGTGCCCCAGGTGAACCCCAAAGAGGGACAACTGTACACACCCCCATCGAAATTTTGGCCAAGGGAACTCCTAAAAACCTTGATTCTAAGCCTAGAGGACCACAAACCCTAGTAGACTTTAGGCAACATAGACCCAATATAACTGCTTTAAAATTTCCCAACCATCCCAACTTGAAATAGGGCCCAAAAGCTTTCCAACAATTCAAAAATCGTCTAAATCAGACCTACGGATAAAAAGATCTAACAAATGATAATTTAGTCCCTGTGATACCCAAGTATCGAGCTGCGGGCCAGGCTATATCGCGGCCCGACAGGCCCAAACGCAGCTTGATGACATAGTAAACGCATTTGATGATGCAGTAAAAAGATTTATGATATATTTAATGCATTTTATGATGCACGGAAGATGTTTTATTTAACTAGATAAGGATAAAGCTTCAAGATAAATCCAAAAAAATTCCAAAAAAATAAAAAAAAATCCCCAATCGAATCTTATAAATACCCCATCTCCATAACCCAAAGAATAAAGATACCTTAGAAATTTTGAAAATAAGAAAAATTACCCAAAAATAGGAAAAACCGTTAAAATATTTTAAAAAAATTAGAAAAAATCCTAAAAAATCAGAAAAAATCTCAAAATTCATATTCAACCTCTGGAGATCCAAAAAACCTTAAAAAACAAAAAAAATATTCTTCAATCTTAAAACATACCAAAAAAAGCTTAGTAGACCTTACCTAAAATCCCCAGCTTTTCTCAGTACCTTAAAAACCTTAGATCTAAGTCAAAGAACTTTAGATCTACCAATTCTAACAAGCAAAAAACATCCAAAAAAGAGATGGTGTTACAAATCAAAAGAGTTGTCTGATCCAAACCCGAAACTCTGAGTTTTGGATCCCTAGAGGTAAGTATATATTTCTTTGATTGATTTAATTATTTTTTCTTCATTTAATTCTCTACTTTAAATTATTTTTTTGAAAATTAATTTATTATTAGATTTAATTAAAATTTAAAAGAGTTTTTTTTAGATCAAAATACGAATTTGAAGCTGGTGCTACCAGTGGACTCAGAAAAAAAATGGATGTATAGATTTGGGATTTTTCTGAGCCCATAATTCAAACGACCCCACTCACTTTACTTTTTCAAAAGTAACTCAGTTTTTGTTAAGATTTGATCATATCTCATCCTAGAGATTAGCGCAAATCGGAGTGTAAACACTATTCAAGAAAAAATTGATATAATGGCAAAAATTTCAAAAGGCGAGAAAATCCACCACATCAATCCACAAGAACTATTGTTTTTTTTTAATCTTTAATTCAAATTTTGTTGTTTTATTGACAATCAATAATGGTTTACAGCACTAAAACACCATAAACTCCAAAAAATGGCTAGCAAATTGAATAAAAAAAAGCAAAAAAAATTGGTTCATGGGCCCTGCTGCAAATAATGGGCTCCATTTCAAAAAAAGACCATTATTTCATTTTGCCCCTTTTTTTGCGAAAAAAAAACACCATTTTAACAAAAAACCGATTCAATTAAATCAAAACCGACCGGTCAGACAAAAATGCGGCTGGTTCGACCTCTAACCAAACGGTTTTGGTCCCGACATTTTATGGGGTGATACCCTAGGTCCTTAGAACCCCAAAACCGCCCCTAACCGAACTCGAAACCCTAGCGATTCCGAGCTAAACGGTCGATTTTTCTAACAATGGTCGCACAATACAAATAATTTTCATGCTATTTTTTATGCTAAACGACTATAACATCATTAAAAAAAAAAAAACCTCGAGGTCAGATTTTGAAACGTAAAAGTGATCACAATTTTAAATTACTTATCTAATACACAATACGCTTGCTGGGGTGCATATTGGATCATCCAAATACTGGAACACTGGAACAGCCCAAACAGCGCATCAAGACGAACGCCAGAGACAGCTCAACCCGAACATGGCATGACGGCATGTGAATATAAAAGATTGGCTGCATCTGCCCTCAAAATGGCCTAAAGCTCTTCGATGGATGCTAAAATACCGGTGGTGCACCATCAGCATCAGCTGAACCGCTTATACCTGTGGCCCACCATCGTCACTTGGACCACTTATAATGGTGGTCCACCAACAGCATTAGCCGAAACACTCATACTTAAGGTCATCATTCATACTAGTGGTCCACCATTGGCATCAGCAGGACGGGTCATATTGGTGGTCCACCATGAGCATCATTCAGACCACTTGTACTGGGTTGAAAAATCAAGGCTGGAAATCAAAAATTTCAGAGAGATTATAGTAAACTGAAGGAACAAGGCTGAGATTACTCATCTTGTGTATCCATCTATCAGATTCAAGTTTTTAGCTGCAAAGAGAGTCCAACATGTGGTTCATCTCCTGTCTGTGAAGGAGGAGGTCTAGTCACCCACTTCGACTGATATTCCCAGAAGCAAATTGAATAATACAATCTGTTGGGTTCAACTAAATATGTACCTTCGTGTAATTTTTTTTAGAATTGTTTGTAGTGTCAAAGAACTCTTGTTTCACTTAAAACATGTGTGGAAGTAAATTATGTTTGTTTAGAAAGAAACTGGAAAGTTGTCCCCAAATCAATTGATACGTATATACATTTTCTGACACTCTACGGGTGACATGTTTTCTCTGGTTTATATACAAATTTGAGTCACATCTTTCAAAAATACAAGTACGTACATATGTGCAGGGATTTCTCCCACACAATGCCAATCGTGAGAGAGAGAGGAATTGCCAACGAAAACAAAGTACGGAAAAAAAATGGTAGGGTTTCCATGGGTCACAATTTGGATTAAATTTTAAGGAATTTGGCCAAAATTCAAAAACTCCGAATATACTAGCTTGCAAGAGATTGAGCAGATCGAGAAATTAAGCAAGCTTTCTATGTCAAGATTTGCTAACTAAAACTCAAGGATCATAACGCAAATTGTAGGTGAGGAGGGTGAAAATTGAAAGCAAAAAAAGAAGCAAAAAAGCACTGAAAAAATCCAGCCAAAGCTAGGACAAAATGTCCAAATTATGGGTTGGTGAAGGGCTCATAGAACCAAAAAAAAATCAGCCCAACTAGTCAACAACCGTTTTTGGCCAACTCTTGAGATATTTTAAATTTGATAACTTGGCCTCACAGGCCAAGGAGCCTATAGGATGTTCAACGCGTCCAATCTAGTCTTGGTGACATTGGTATACACAAACCACTAGATAATACAAGTCATTGTTCTGGTTCTTGAGGATAACATAAATATAACAATGGTGTGCATTTGCGGGTGTTCCATACCATGAGAACTCCAAACACTACCAATGTTTCTGTCTCTTGGAATGCTTCATGCCTTATTTGGTCGTGAGTTGTAAATATCAATCTGATAATGCAAAGCATAATAATCATATCCACAAAAATTCCCAAACTTCTTGCCTGAAATTGTCTGCAGCAAGGTGCTTGTGAAACTTCATGGTTGATGCAGGGAGAAGACGAAAGAAATAAAATAAATCAGAAAAATTTTAAAAATAAAAGACGAAAGAATATGCTCTCTCAAGATCTGCAAAGGAATCCACCCCAAAAAGATCTCTTCACAACCCAAAATAAACTTTTATTCTCCTCACTCATGTTTTCTGATACAAGTGTTAGTTACCCTTCAATTCTCTACAACTAAAAAAGATACAAATACCTTAAAGAAAACTAGAAACCCAAAGAAATTCCATCTTAGACTTTAATCTCCTAAAAAATAACAAAATAAAAAATTAAAAATAAAAAATAAAACCATGTTTGCATCATACTCTTGAGGATGGAAGAAGCTCCACTCCGAGCTTGTTGAATCCACCATATTTTCAATAATCACTTGCCTAGTACCTTGTTTCTTCAATGAAACAATTGATCAAAATATTGAATATCCAGCTTGTAGTGAAACTCTGGAATACCCAACTTAACATTTGATTTCTTCTTCAAGCTCAAAAGGCGGTATTTCATGTGCGGCAATGCACGTATCATAATTGATTTTCAAAATTTCTAGCACTTTTGAGTTGTAAACATCTTTGGCACTAAGGTTTGCCTCTTGATATTCTAGTGCCCCATGTTGTAATTTGTTGTCTAGATCTTGTAGAACATGTTGTACAACTTGTCAGGCCTTTTGTGAATCTCTCAATTATTTCACGCCCACACTCTACAATTGAATTAGAAGATGATTGTCATAGCATCATGCTGGGGAGTCCACCCCAAAAAGATCTCTTCACAAGATTCAAAATAAACTCTTATTCCATCCAATCTAGGTTTTTATCTAAGAGTTATATTTATAAAATAAAACAACTCTAAAATCTAACTTGTTCCCTAAGAAGCACCAACTAAATCCCAACCCTCCATATTTTAAAAAGAATAAAGTTTAAATTTTACCCCTCAAGTTTGTACAACTAAAAAAAGACACAAATACCCCTAAAAAAAAAAGCCAAAAGAACTCCCAACTTAAATTTCAATCTCCTAAAAAAGTTAACGAAGCTAAAAAAATAAAAACCCGGTTTGCAACAATGGTTCAGTTCCCAAGCCAAACAATGTCGAAAAGGAGCTAAATTGAAATGTAAACATAAAACAAGTCTCCTGCGTCAAGAAAAGAAACAATATTGATAATCTTGAGATCATAAAAAACACAATTATATTGATAACAAATACATTGCATAATAATTGAAGGTCATTGAATGGATACAGTTTGTTAATAGAAATGAATGTCAAAATTTTATATCTGCTCTATACAAGCCTGGTTAGTGATGAAGATTGTCCAACATGTGCATACCCCTTTTGGTAAGACAACTTGGTCATGTAACGCTCTGAGTCCTTACCTGTGTAAGCAACAGTCACAGCTGCCTGCCTCTCTTGACGACGTGCCCAAGTGACAATGTATAGACCTGCAATTATGAGAAAGCCCCCGATCATACTGCAATAAAAACAAAACATTCTTTATGTTACAGAACATCAAAGCTCTTAAGCTATGGCTTCAAGCTCTTACGATATAAGAAAGTCTGTTTACGAATTTGAAAGCCGTTATTCTACTGATAACCAAATTCAACTTGGGTCAACAGGCTCCAATTGGAATGAGAGTGCTACAGCCCACAGCCCCATAAAAGGGCACAATGTGCTTTCCAGGAACAAGAAAACAAAATACCAACCAATAAAAGAAAAAAGAAAGCAACATGCCATATCTACTTACAAATAAAAAGTTTTAAGTAGCTAAAATTTATCATGAAAATCAATATATGCTTCCATGTGATTCAAAAGAAATCTGCATCCTAGATCCACAGAGTGCACAATTGACTACCTTCGCACCATTCTTTACAAAGTATCCAGCAATTAGCACCAATATTCACAAATGGACTTAAAACACCTACAAGTTTCCCCAGGAATCATTTCCCACCTCATACCCAGTTCCTAAAATCCACACATATTACCTAGTTGTTACTGCCTCCATTCTGGGGACAAACATCCATGTGTAAACTCATTTTCCCACACTCGGGGAAATCCATCAGTGTTATCATGCCGTCTTCCACCACATCCAAAAACTAGTGGAACACTATACACAAGCCAATCCCTAAGCCCTAACTCAGAAAAACCAAAAGCCACATCCTTTTTCTCTTGCTTCAATGAAGTCGAAATAGGTACTCTTGGCAGCACTCATTGACAATTATCATGCTCCAGCAAAAACGTCAAATACGTTTTTGCATTCCTGTTTGGTAAACCTGTTGCTCTTCTACTGGAATCATTAAATTCCACAGAACAGTTCCATGATAATGAGGCTTGGCTCAGAATACTCAACCACTTATAGTTAATGCTGCGATCAAATCCAATTCAATGACAGATTGCCCACCTCTGACCTAGACCAAAGTGCCACACACAAAGAAATGGGTAGAAATATTTGCTGATAAAAAAAGAAACGGGGGTAAATGTGTTGCACAAGAGTACTCATGCAAGTTATCATTTTGCCTTTGGTTGGCCAAGACATGGGAGAAGAGAAAGTATAGTTTACTGAGAGACAGACGGGCAACCTTCTGGCAACAAGAGGCAACATCTGGCGAGCTTTGGAGCGACCTTCCGGACTCTCATCCAGCAACCTTCTCTGACCGGCAGCAATCCTGTGGTGAGCTTTGGAGCAACCTTCTGGCAACCCTCCGGCGACCCTCATCCAGCAACCTTCTCTGACCAACAACGATTGTCTGCATTCTCTTCCTCCTTTTTCTGGTGATCCCCTTCCCTTCTTATATCTGTGATTTTCATTGCAAATCTAAGGTTTTTGCTTCTCTTTTGTGTTGTCTTTTCCTTTTTCGACTCAATTTTGAGCCTTTTGCACAGATCTGTGGGCTTTTACCTTGAGATTTGTGGTATTCGTTTCAGATCTGAGTTTTTCTGTGCTCACATCTAAATTTTCTGTCTCCTCTTTTTTGTCCCTGTTTCTGGTCTTGTTTCTTTGGTTTCCCTTTTCTCTCTTTGTTCTGTTTTGGTTTTGTTTCTCTCTTCGTCCTCCTCTCCTCCCATTCTATTGTTCCATCTTACCTTTTTGCTTCTACCTCCTCTATTTTCTTATTTCTATTTTGTTTTCTCCTTCCCTATATCTTGTTTGTTAGGTTCTCATTTCCTCTCTTTCCCCTCTCTCTCCCCATCGCCTTCCCTCTCTCTTACCATGTTCTTGGGATTTTTTATTAGATCTTCTTTCTAACCATTTTATTAGGTTTTCTTTAGGTTTCTTTCTCATTTTTCTGAGCTCTTTTTCTCCGCTTCTGTTTTTCGTCTGTCTTTCATTTCCTTCTTCAACCCCTCTCTCTGTCTCTTCTCTAGTAGCTCTTCCCTAAAGTCTCTTCTCTAGTAGCTCTTTCCCAAAGTCTCTACTCTAGTAGCTCTTTCCTTTTTCTGAGAGATAGCGTCATTGGGGTGTTTCTCCCCTCCCCTTCCTCCCCTTCCTCCCCTTCCTCCTCCCTCCCTTCTCTTTCGTCCCTTCCCTACATCCCTCTTTCCCCTTCCCCTTCGTCTGAGATCCACCTGTTTCCGCCCACCATCTCTCCCCTCGACTTGAATCCTCTTGGAAGGTTAACACCTAAGATAGAGTTATCCCTTCCTCTAGGGTTTGGGACCCTGTTATGGGAATTTTTGCACTCCTGAGTTTTCCTCTTGGGCCTGAAATTCCCTGGTATTAGGCCAATGGAGATGAATGCCTTAGTCGGGGTAGGCCTAGTCACGGGTCAGTTTGACCCCTGTCATGAAGGTTGCACTCCTTATGGGAGTAAGATCTCCTTAGTTCTGGCCTTCTACAGTGTCCTAGCTGAGGTTTCAGAGAATGGTTCCTCTATCATCTTGTGTTGGTTCCTGGACTTTCCCTCTCTGTGGTTTCTCTTTCCACCCTTTTTTCTCTCACCATTTTTTCGCCATCAATTGGCACCATCAGTGTGTTGCCCCAACTCCGGCTTATGTACTTATTGTGGATGGGATGCTTCGGAGTGGTGGTGAGTGGTAAGGGCTTGGGTAGAAGGACTGTAGAGGACTGGGTTAGTGGGGATTTTGAGTTTGTTGGTAGTGTAGGGTCACTGAGGGTTTGGGTTTTGGGGTGTTGGTAGGTCTTGCTTGGAAGTAGAAGACTTTTTCTCTACTTCTTCCTTTGTACTCACTCATACTTTTAATGAGAATTTACTGTTTACATTTCCATATATATATATATATATGTGGGTTTTGTTAGGCTACACCACTTGTGGTGTAAACCCTTAAAGTGCTTAAAATTTTTAGACATTTAGATACCCTTATCCTATAGTAAAGTAACTTTTTGTTTAGGGGTATTTTAAGCAATTAGTAAAGGGTAAACTAGAAATTCTTAATAGAAACAAAAGCATTTATTAACAATAGTGGACAATGAACCCATGACATCTTTAACTGATGGAGAAGATATGGACAGTCGTCGCTTAGGTTTTTCCAGGAATAGCTCCGCGTCTATGCAAAGAGGAGGAGGTGGTGGATCCTTGGGTAGGAGCATCTCTCAAAGGTCCTATAGTAGAGATCTTCACAGAAGGAACCATACGTTACTTCTCCTTTTTTCAATTGGGAGGTAATTTATAACCTTTACCCTCGACCTCCACTCCCCCGTTCTGATCGTCGCCCATCCTCTGCGAGTTACCTTCAAAGGTTGCATGTTGGTCCTACGTCTTACACACAGGTCGTCACCTCCAAAACCCCTACTCCCCCTGCTCCTCCTCCCCCAAATCCCCCCCCCCTCGGAGGTCCCGATAGCCTCGTCCTTCCCTGCTCACCCTCTGCTTATTGAAACTTCGAAATCAGTCTCTCGCCCACTCTCAGACCATTTACAAACTGTGCTGGTTGATTACTTCGTCCCTCAGCGTAATGACATCAGGGGCATAGAAAAATGGGCACTGAAACTCTGGGGGGAACCTAATATTACATGCATAACCATCGCTAGGGGAGGTATTCTTTCTCCTTCCCATCTCCGACCTTGGCCCAGGTAGTAGTAAGCAGCCATTGCAGCCTTACCTTCAAAAGGGCAAAGCTGTTCCCACGACCATGGTCCCCCAAATACTGCCTTACATTTAACGCCATCCCTCTTCATGCTTGGTCTCCAGTCATTTTCAGGAAACTAGCCCGAGCGTCTGGCCAACTGATTTCCATTAACTGGAAATCACTGGAGGTCCTTCCCATAGGGTCGATGAAGTGTTGCTCGCGACAACAAACCCTTCCCTCATCCCTCCTACGATCTGGATCACGGTAGATGACTCCTTTCCTATTACTGTTAAATGGTCCTTGGCTTCGTGGAAGAGACCTACAATGAAGAAGAAGGCCTTGCCAAAACAGTGGATTAAGGTCACCAGAAATCCAGATCCCGATCGTCTATACCGAATGCCTCCGGGAGAACAATGCGTGTTCCTCAAGCAATACACGTGTCACTAGACGGAGAAAACAATACATGTACCCAGATAGACGTACCACTAGTTTCAGCTCCATCTATGGATACACCTATACAGGAGCCAAACACTCCTGTCAGAGCCACCTCTATTAAGGATCTTCCTCAAGATCCCACCTTAATGCCGCCACCCGCTCCCCCAAATCCCAAGACACCCTCGCCACGCGTCCAAGTAAAATGTACCTCGCCGTTTTATCTGCCATCGGGTACGATAACCCAGCCGCACCAGCCACTTGTGCCACCTACCAAAGTCAACGACGTGTGCCCCCTAGCCTCCACTCCTTTGCCATCGGGACTGCCATTCGTCTAATGTCCCCCTCTTCTCCCCCCGAGAGACAACCCCTTTATCTCCCCTCTTGTGTCCTTGGCCCAAAGAGGTCTTGTAACCCCAACGGTCATGCCTCCCCCATCTGACGCCGAGATGGTACCCATGACAAGAGAATGCTCTCTTTTAGTTCCCAGTCTTCCCTCTCTCCAAGAGCCGTCGAAGCATATCCCTCATCTCCTCACCTCTGAGATTGTAACCTCGGTGGTGAATCCCGGCAAAGAGGGGCTACCCCTCGAGACTGTCTTAATAGGAAAATATAGGCACGAGGCTCTAGCTGAGGATCACTCTGTTTTACTGAAAATTCCTCCTAGTGAACCCCTCGGATTTGCTAGCCTGCTCTTTGCACCATCCTACCTTTCCTCCTACCTTCTTCTCCCCCGCCTTCCCAGACATGGACTGGTCCCACTACCCCATTGGCATTCTAATGGTCCACACTTCTTCTCCCTTGTCGCTGGACCTGGAGCTTAGCCCATTACCTCCCTCTTTATCCTGCTCTCACTCCAATTTGTCGGGTCAACTCTTCGCTCCCCTCTTTCTTCCGTACTCATGGTCACCCCCTCATTCCTCGCACAGCTTTTCCCCTATTTGAACTACCTCTACCACAACTCCACATTGCTCTCAACGCCTCCTTTATAGTGGGCCATCTCATAGATACAGG